ATATTTGAAAGGCGTATTTAAGAATGTATGGCCGGAGCTTAGCAAAGATGTTAACACAAGAGTCATAATTGATATTGACGAAATTGTCAAGCTAGATAATGAAACAGGGTTGGATAATATAAATGCGAAGGATATTGAAGAATTGTTGAACATTATAACTGGTGGAAGTCCTTCCAGCGTCGATCTTAAAGAATTAGTCGAGAACCAAATGAACGAAAATGACGAAATTAGCGTTTCTGAAGATGAAGAGCAAAAGGAAGTTTAAGGAATTTTGCCAAAAAACGTTATGCAACTGAAAAAAAAATTGATCAGTTTATGCGAACTGATAAAAATTTTAGTAGAAGTTCTAGGGAAAAACGAAGTGTTAGTGACTCGATCTATCTCAATATCGCCAAATACTTGCCGAATGAAACAGGGAAAGGCTGGCTAAACAAGTCGATATTTAATGTAATACAAGAGTATTTAATAAAAACATGTTACAGAATAAAACATAAAAAATGATACATATATTTTATTATTCTCTCTATGTTTCACATATCGCTGTTATCTGTGTGTTAAGATTACCTATTTCAACGCTGTTTCATTTAACTATAGAACTTATTGTAACTTTTACCCTGCTTTAGCAGGTCTTACTGTATAAATGAGTATAGATAGCTACCTGTATAAATGAGTATAGCTAGCAACTATATTTTGCAGAAACATTGGGTCCCCTCTTGATTTCTGTGGAGGAGGTCGATTACACTGACTGCCGTTTGCTTGGAGCAATTACAATTAGACAAAAGATCTGTCGCGAATTATGATGTTCAATCTGGCATTAAATTGCCCTTGTTAAAATGTTTCAAGCATTTTTAACACCAGCCAAAGCATATCTACCTTAACGTCATAGTCGGTTTGTGAGAGATCCATATGAATAAGCTTTCGAAAAGCAATATTATAAATTTAAGGGGTGTTATGAAAGCAAATGTTAATATGGAAACCAAAAGCTACGGTGGATATGATTCAAAAACAAATGTTGTAAAGAGTGATGTTAAATTGTATGTGCGCAATAAACAAATATTCTTTGTTCAAAGAGAAATTTAAATAATCGCCGAACGATTCCGATAAAGATTAAATAATCAAAGTTTAAAACGCGAAAGCTTACATTCGCAATTGCCAAGGAAATTTGTTTGATCTTGACTCATACTAATGTCAGGAGTATAAGAAATCCGGCATACGTCTCCCGTTTGCCTTCTTTAAATTTGCCGATCCATACATGTTTTCCTGTGATTGCCATACTCACAGGCTAACAGTCACTGTATTCTCTACACAGCTTTTACCTTTTACATTTAGTGTCAGTTTGAATTTTAATGTTAAGTTGTTCGCGGACATTATACGGCTAAACGCTCGCCAAAACATTGTAGAAAATCAAGTGAGGAATTATCTATGGCAATTTCAATTATATGCCGACTTATCAACACGCTTCGCCTTATTCCGCGGACACAACAGAAAGCCAGTTTTACTGCTATTCACTTTTACTGCTAGCCAATTTTACTGCTATCCTCATGCTACAGACTCTTGGTTATCGCACAGCTTCTTCTTCTTCCATGCTTTATTCAGTATTGCCAGATCTAAGAACTTTCAGTTTTATTCCCCGTATAATATCAAATATATCTAATAAAAAGATCATGGCTAACATGATATTAGACTTGAAAATAATATCAATTAATATTAATGTATAATATCGACTACCAATATAACGTCATCCCCTTGAAAGTTAATATCAAAATATTTAAAAATTAATATTCACTAAAAATATAATAAACCGACAAATTCTAACAGAACACACACACACACACACAAAAAAAAAAAAAAAAAAAAAAAACCTCCAAATTTTGTAATTTAGAAGGTTTGCTAGCGGCCTATCGGTAAAGTTGCTGAGCACTGGTAATTCAGTCTGAGGTACGAATCCCGCGAACGAGCATGGCTGGATGAGCGTTTTTGTGGTTTTCCCAATGTGTAACGTGCGTACGAGCCAGCTTCTCTTAAAATGTCTTCTACGAAAGTATCCCTCCTCTTAGGCTGATAACCCTCGAAACGTTACCGTAATCATATAAAACAAACCAAAACCATAATTTTAGAACACTGAACCCTTTTACAGTTTGACCCCATAAGTGGCCGAGCGGTAAAGTTGCTGAATACTGGTTGTTCAGTCTGGGTATACAACATTAGACCCGCATAGCTGGACGAAATATATGATCATATATTTAAAAATATAACTTAACACATCTGGAATACGTTTATAAATATTTTCAGCTTTTAATTTATACTGCAGTATATTCACAATGGCTGTCCAAAGAAAATACTCAAGATAAAACTATCTAGTTAAATATTCCTGGCTCTCTTTGATCGGTTGGGGACATATTTCTAAACGAGAAAGAAATGGCCGGAGTAGCATGAGAAAATCTACGACATTTAATAAATTCCATCACTAACATATATAGTGCGATATAGTACTTCCATTGTAAAAAAATATCATTCAGTTTTTAAAAATATATAAATTTTAAACGAATAATCGGTGGAAATTTTTTCCGGAAAGATAAAAAGGATTGTCTGCGATAATTACATTTAAATAATAATTTCATATTATGTAATTGATAATGAAAATCATGAAAGTATTTAAGAAATATCTCAAAAAACAGTGAAGAAAACGTTGTTTATTCTTTGTTTCGCGTAATGTTTCACACAGCTGAATCTGAGAAACTGCAGATTTTGTGGTAATATGCCTTCTCAAGCAGAAATATGAATTCTGCGTAAGTCAAGAAAGAATTTGGAAAAATCTTGAATTATACGATAAAAGACACCTTTAATGCTTACGAAAGTAGTTTTTTTTTTTTTTTTTTTTTTTTTTTTTTTTTTTTTAACCTGAATCCTTCTGCCAGATAAAACGAACATAGCTGATAGCGAAATTTTTCAAGAACAAAATGATCCAAAATCCTTTGTCTGCGTTATTGTGCTGCTATTCTTCACGGAAGTGAGGATGAAAAAAATGACACCACTTTTGATCAGAAAAGCTGAAAATCCTAGTCGCTTCAAAATATAAAAATGCTCCTTAGCAGGAAGGAACTGAATAAAAAAGTGGATGATACTTTTGGTGTTTAAAAATTTCGTAAAATGACTGCACAAGGGACTAAACAGAGCCTGCTGAAAGAAATAGATCTGTATTTTATTGGTGTACGCTCACTTATGCTGAATTCGAAAAACACATTGATAGACAATTGCTAAGACACAGCTGATTTTCGGATGTACAAGATATTTTTAGTGAAGTATTACTGACATTAATGAACCACGGTAGTGAAGTTTTCAATATTCGTACAAAGGAAAAGATCATAATTCTTCTATAAATCTTCCTAACAAATATAAAATTTAATTATTGTTACTAAAGTTCATTCTTTCGCATTTTTTTAATTACTTATGTAGTTTAGACACAAACTTTGATTTGCATGCATCATAAACATTTTCGACTGTATCACTAACTCTACTCCATTGTAATGATTTCCGTAAGAATGCTGATATCAAAAATTTTGTTTCGTGGTTTTATGTTACAAACATTGTAATACCAAAGGGAACTTATTTGTACTGGTTATCGCACAGTACAGCAAAGCTAATCCGAAAAATGCATATTTCTTGTTGTTTCAAATGCCTGACACTTCAGTCCGGCATTTGAAACAAAGTGCATTCGTCAAGGATGTCTCGTAGCCATTGGTCATTTTGCAAACTCATTACTGATAATGTTGCTCAAGTTACACCAAAGCAGGCGACAGATTTTACACCCGCCAAGAACAAGAAAATAAGTTAATTCGGTCCTAATTTTGATAGGGACACCCCGGGGTGCGTAATTCGAGAGTCTCCTACCCCTCTTTTCCTACTGGCAAGCCTCTCGAGAGGACTCTGGGTTGGCCATTATTTTAAGTACCACCATACCGCACAGTTATTGCACACTTACAAATGACCAGTCCTTATTGATATCTCTGCGGACACTGTACCAAAGTTAGCCGGCATCGCTAATTATTACATCGATCAGGGCGGCTCGTAAGAATGTATAACATCTACTGTATAATAAGTCTAAAAATAAGAAATAGTTCTTAAATTCGTTCAGTGTTCATACAAAAAACATTTATTTAGTATGCATAATACTGTAATAGAATATTCTGAAGATGCTTGAATAATTCCTAAATATCATTTTCATTAGGAGAATAAAAGAATGACAATCGAAATGCGTCCCGAAGCCTGAATGCCCGTGTGAAGGTAATCCAAATCTCGTTATACATCATAAATAATATTACGATGTATTTGTATCATCGTCTCTTGAACATGTTATTCCCTGCTTTCTCATAATGGCAGCCTGTATTTCTTTGTGACGAATCGACCACACCACAAAGGTTAACAAAGTAATGTTGTTCTAGTCTGCCGTTACTTACGCATTATCAGCAGAAGGAAAACCACAAAGATAGGGGGGATAGACAGCTAATAATTCTTTTTTACCGCTCAGAATGATTAATTTCGTAACCGTGCTCCATACATGTAAAAATTTCGTATCGCAATTTTTGGGTACTCGTGCTTCAAAGTGTGTTACCGAATCTAAATAAAATGGTCTTGCGTTGAAGCTTTAATGACATTTCCTGCTCTGATGTTTGGAAATATGATTGTAATACTGACAATATTTGAAAATCTCCATTTAGATTTGAAATGATACACGAAAGGAATTTCAATATGCGGGCCTATAAATTACATTGACATTTTAGTAAATATATTCAATACGCTGTGTTTGTTTAAGTCACCAACATTTTCTTATTCAATTTGAAAATCTTCTTCTCACTTATGTCTGAAAAAAACATTTAATATGGACAAATTTTACAAATTATAGTAGGATATGTTTATGTGACAGTACTAAGCATATATTTTTGTATCGATACTTTAAATTGTAACTTAGATATCTGAATTTACGTTTTTAGAAAACTTACTTTTCAAACATGCAGAGGGTTGGGTGGAAAAACTTTTTTTTTTCTTTCATCTTGCATAGCTAGGCAATAGGCAGCTTTTCTTGAGTATAGCAAGAGGAAAATAAAATAGGTGTTTTTCCGGTATGCCTTAATGTTTCAGCGAGTTATATCTAGAACAGTGGTTATGTTTTAATGCGTCTTATAAATTAATCAAGAAAAGTATAAAAAATATTTATACATATCAAAACTAGAATAAAAGTAGTTATTTATATTTATAAACAAAGACTGTTACTTAACATAGATAAATAAACGACAGACCGAATTCTGTCTCCCCTTACTATGAAATTCTCTCCTAAGAAAGAATTCTTCTTGGTTGAGAACTCCTGACCTAGAAAGATATGTTATTGCTTATTATTTATTTTAAAGAAAGTTATTTCATTTTTATACCATTATTTATTTTTCATTTATAAAAATAAGGTTATATTATATACAACTTCAACGTTTCTTCTTAAAATTGTAGTTATTTATCCATACTTTACATTCGTATAACAATTTTGAAATTCTGACTGAGATGCCATTGCTAAATGTAATATATCCATCTGAAAATTCGTATATATTCCTTAAAATGTCCTACTTATCTGAGTAAAACCATCATATGTGTAATAAAGAAAATGTGGTTTAGAGACATTATTGCGGCAACTGTTTGCATTCAATACAAATAATAACAAAAGTATAACTTATTTGCTTCAAGTTAAGGAAGCAAATTTAATTCTAAACACCCTCCAAAATTTTTATTTATTTTCAATTAGTGAGAAAAAAATGACTTTTACTTTTACTTTTTAGTTGACTTTTCTTCAGTTTTATGTATGATGAATAAAATTTAATTCTATATTCATGGACAAAAATAATTTTTTGAATAATGAATGATGAATTGATAGTTGAATAATTTTATTTTCATATTTCCTGGTGAATTTCTTATTTAGAAATTTGTGTGATATACTTTCCTAAAATTTCTACAGTGATTCAGTACCTTTTATCCACCTCTCTTCAACAGTCATTCAGATTCTTTTGCCATTAACAACATTAAAAGAGATAATGTTTGCTTAGGATATTATGAATCTAGTATTTAGAAATGGTAATTTTTGCCAGTCTTCTTTTAGAAAGAATTTCCCACGTTATTCTCTCAATCGAATTCATTTAGGATTAAGGCTGTAACAAAACAAATGAGCATGTGTAACATTATGGAAATTTAAATGGTTTTGGGATCAATCACTAATTCAAAAATTTTAGTTATCCAGCATTAGTACTATTTAGATATTTGTAAGTCCTTTATTTCAATATCTGAATGTAACAAAGTTAGTTCTTTGCTTTGAGCCAATGAATATCCGCTGTTATCAATTCGAAAGGCGAGCAAAAATGACAATATCATTTTGCCGTAAAGCAGTGAAACAGCAACGGAGGTATTTAAAAATATTGTGGAGAGCATACATGAATCAAGCATTAACATATTTCAGTGCGTTTGCTAGTACGGACGATTTGCAGCAGACACGAAAGTGTTAAAACTAAACCCAATAATGATCACTCTTTGCAGATTCGAACAGATAAACAAATAGGAATAGTTTGACAATTGCCATTGAAAATTCATCATTTGTCTCTTCGAATGAGAGCTGATGAACTTAATGTCATTAATGGCACTGCTCGCAAAATTGCAGCAGAAGACTTTGAAACAGGAAAAATTTTTCTCTTTTTGATCTTTCACTCCAAGTGCCTGCCGATCAAAAAGCGAGAGAATGTCTGCATATCATATTTGATCAAAATGGGTCCTTTTTAGTATCCCCCTTATTTGGTTGTTGTTTCTGTTCTAACGTTTTCAAGTTGTAACAGAAGATGAAATTTAATTCTTTGCTTATGATCTCGAAAAGAACTGACAATCATTAGCTTGAGTTTGGATGATTATCCATGCCACATAAACTTTGTTGCCTGAAATCTCCAATAAAGTAGCGTGTTAGTGAACGTTCCTGACTGCAAAGGAAAAAATTGAAAAGAATATGCTCCTGACGGAGATGAACTCCATATTATATGAAGATTTGATAGAAAACTGCTGTAGACTCTTTAGCGCATTAAGTCTGGAAACACCGAGCCAAATGACTTGTTTCCTGCTCCAGGACAAAGCGTCTTCATACAATTCTAATTTTGTCAATCAGTATCTAACACAATAAACGTGTCACAAATCTGCATCACTATCTTATTCAGCATATTTGGCCCTTGGAGTCTACTTTCTTTTCCGTACAGTAAAGCCTTGCTTCAAAAGTTATTTTATTAGCCCTTGAAATTAAAAAAAAAAATATCATTACCAAAACTTATGCAGAAATAATGAATTTTTCGAACGAATCAAACACCTGAAGCAACTGACAGATCTTCCATAGGCTTTAGAGGATCCCATAATGTAGTTTGTGAAGTAAGAATGTCGCTTTCTTCAGCTTTCAGTTCTCTATATGAACTTAGTTCTGAAACTCTACAGGCGCTTTGTATACATTTAATTCAAATTTCATATTTAGATTTTTATTTCTATCACTTCAATTGTTCTTTTAAAGAGTAAATAAATAATATATTTAGGAAAATAGTAAAGAATTGTACTATAATTAGTGAAAAGATACAAAATTAATTTGAAACAGTAAAAAAAATCAAAGGTCTCAGATTTAAATGATTGCCAAAAGGCTCTTTTAAAGTTTGATATGGTTTATCTTGATAGCGATTACGAAGGTGGAATAAAACATTTTATTAGATATTAATATATATGCATTTAGATTAACGTTATAGTATATCTTCAGCATATTTGGTTTCGTTTATTTAATTACGGCAAAACCTCGAGGACTATCTCCCTAAGTGGAGGGATGTCTTCGTGGAGGACATTCTAAGGAGAACTGGCACATATATACTTTACACATGGGGAAAAACCACGAAAATGCCCATGCAACCAGCCCTTTAGCTGGATTCTAACCTCTGACGAATTGCAAGTGTCCAGCGTTCTGTATATTTAAAAAGTGAAAAATGTGTTATGTAAGTCCATAAAAGTATTTGATGTGTTTAATTAGATATATCGTGAATTAAATACATTTTTATGTAACTTAATAAGATTAAAATATGCTTGAGGACTATATCTCTAGTTTGTTTGTTAATTAACAGCAGACACATTAAAGATGAAAGAAGAATATCTTACATTTTTCAAAATGGCAACAGATTTGAATGAAAAGTGAAACAGTGCATTCAAGTAAAGTAAAGCAAAATCCTGCGTCGAAACTATCAGCCATTTTGGGCTAATAGTTTCTTATTTATGTTATAGGGATGTGTTTCGCAGCTTGGTCTAGTAAATATATTTGCCAGGCTAAAATGTGCTGGGTATATTTACTATAACATTTCATTGCTTCAAAATTAATTGTTTCGCTTTTTTCCATAGCAGTTGCTATGCTGATGACATTATGATGAGTTAGTATTTTTACTTTTTAGAACTACTGTAATACTTTCTTTTCCAGAAAACTAGTAAATCAGTGTCAATCAAATGATGTAAATTTAAACATACTCAAAATTATAGAAGGTAATCAAATTAGCATTATATTATCGATTTCAGCTTTCAGCAAATGATCCGAGCAGCTGTTATTTTTGAAACCTCAATCATTTTAAAATTTTCAATGAATCTAATACTGAGAAACATTTTAGAACTTCTATAATAAATTTAGAATAAAAATTATTATGCACTCGTCTGACTGAACTCGCACTAGTAATGGCTCAAAACATTGTAATTGTGCAACTAAACCAGATAGCCAAGAATAAAAGCTAAAGACTGAACATTCAAATTATCAGATTCTGTGAATATTGAAGTATTCGAAACCTGAAAACTTAATTCCTCACGCATATTCTTTTTTCAGATCTTTCGTACCCTAACTAAAACATTGTTACGGATTTTATCCAACTTATTTATCTAACATAAATGATTCCAAAGACTCAAAATTCGAGACATTCGTAAACTATATTAGAATCTGTATTTAGATGTGAATGCGAGAAAATTCAGAATCCATTTCACTTATTATAAAAACATTGTTAGACAAAAAACGTGCAGGGGGATAAGCATTTTATGTTTTCTTTACAACTGACGGCATGAGCATATAATTTTAACTTGTTATGAAAATGTACTACGTTAGGTTTATTTTTAAATTTGAGCCACATAAATGTGTAAATAGAATAAAAATCACCTAAGAAGAACATAACAAAAAAGTACATAATTTTCCCCTTACTGTGAATTTAAGCCTTTAACTATTCCTACTCAATTTTGTATTTTAGTACCTTCAATATAACGCAATAAACAGATATTTTCATTAAAAAACATACATATCATTAACGAATTTTGGGTTTCAAGCAGGAGTTAAACATTATTTTTTAATGTGACTTTTATTGGTTAATTTAATTTTGTTTCAGAGTCGAGAACTTAGAGATAAATCTCAATAAATAAATAAATGTATCTAATGTTTTTTTTTTTTTTTTTTTTTTTTTTTTTTTTAAATTTAAAAGCAGAAAGCTGAAAATTAATTGGAATATATTTTGAGAAGAATTACAAGGCTTTGAAATCCCCATTTAATTTTACAAAATTATGTAAGACACCATTATACTATGTTGCTTACTTTCGATTCACTAATTGGAAACTGGATTAAGCTAAAAAATTTTGCGTATTTTGATTTCTCCTTTTTTATTTAAAAGCTTTAAACATTACAACGATAAATACTCTTTAAAATTACTTTTAGCCAAGGTAACGCCTCATCTATGAATATGGAAAAAATGTTCCCAATTTGATCTCCTCAACACATTTAATCTCACTTTACATTATATACAAATGAAATAATTTGTCTGAAGTTATAATTATGAAAGTTTGTCATTTCAGTGATGAATTAAAGCTTGAAGACTCAACAAAAACTAAAAGCATTTTACTCAAAATTAATGAATTCTTTCATCAAATGAAAACTGAAATTTTTGCTAAGCCTACATTTTATTGAAGCAAGGGTCTTATCTCTGCATCTTAATTCAACGTTCCTGCTTTATTTATTCGTGCACATCATTTTGAATAATAAATCGATGTTAGCGAAGCTAAAAATTAATTGTAAAGTTAATTAATTGTAGTGCTTTCTGTCAATCATGGAGTTTCAGCATATCTTGACTTTTTAAAATTTTATTTTGTGTATGCCCCACTCTACTTACGTTGGGTATTAAGGTTCCCTTTAACTTACGAATTTGCTCCTTCTGTGTCCATTTCATTAATTGTTACACGCAATCACAACGAATGTTTGTAAATATGAAGATACCACTTCAATAAAGATGTCTGTTCTGCTAACTTTTCCA